AATATATGTTTGCTAAATCGACCTTTCAACTTAAACATAGGAATATTTGCAGAACAAAATTATGGCAGTCCGGTACAGAAGTATCGGGACTACGCCTCACGCCTCGATGGTCCATGGGTTTTTGGAATTTGGCAGAATACTGGTGTTAGGTATTTTTACATACACAAGCGAAATGCAGCGACGTTGACCCCCATGATTGAATGCGAAGTAGAAGTAGGTTATCGAATACCTTCTGGGGAATAGACAGCTTATCGGTGGCTTAATTAGATTGGGCACGATCAGAAAACCGCCAATCACCAGCAACATTACGTTAATCTGAGTACAGGTACACATACCCAGCACATTGAGAGGACTTGGTCAGACAGCAAGATGGACATTTTGAAGGAAATTCGCAGAGTCCCACGGCATTTACTTCAGGATGGACACTACTGACGTTTTTTGAAAGGAAAGTAAGATGACTTTGTACCAATCCCACGGGATATGGAAGAAGTATTTGTTGCTTAATTGAAGCTCTTTACTTAGGATTTAATTTTCGCAATAAGGCAACAGTATTTTAAGTAGTGCACCTCATATACGCCTAGTCCCAGCATTTTGTCCTACAGAACCAGTGGTTATAGGGGTTTTATAAGTAGGGAACTAGGATAGGCAATGGAATATACTTTCCTAACTGCTATATGCATTTTTTTTATTGTATTTAGAAGTGTTGTTTATTTATACCCGTAAATTTTCCTGGCGAAGGTAGTTTGAGTAGTGCGCCTCATATACCCCTAGTCCCAGCATTTTGTCCTACGGAAACGGTGGTTATAGGGTTTTGGGGTGGGAAACTAGGATAGGCAGTGAAGAAAGTTCGTAGAAGTGGAAAAATGTAGTTGAATTTGTTTCCCGCGGCCGGTAGGAGCAAGTTGTTTCGCATGTAAATTGAAGGTGTGCACGGCGCTTCGCTCTGCGGACTATACTAATCCAGAATGGTAAGTTGAACCTCTGCGAAGTTGAAGTAGACGACCTTCCAGCCACCATTTCCATTTTTTCATAAATTTCAAGAAACCTACATTTTGATAATCGGGTTTTTCCGCAATATGTTAAACGATAATACAGATAGGAAAATGGCAACAGTGCACCTCATATACACCTAGTCCCAGCATTTTATCCTACGGAGGATATCATTTAGACCTGATCCTGATTTTCGACCGATCCTTATTAGGGTAATAGTCGAGCTATACTAGCGCCGTTGTATTCGTTCTACTGTCCCAATGTAAAAACTAATTCTTACTGGCAGGAAAAATGGACTTCCTTTTTATTGTAAACGTTTGCGTCTATATTTTGTCCATTGCGCTGTTTCTGCGCAGGCTTCAATCGTCCAGAAAATCCTCTTGCTGCCAAACTAAAACTTACTTTCCTGCTTTCAAATACAATATGAAATGGATTCGAAAAATCAGAGGGAGACCCGAATGGCGATTTCTGGCTGGTTGGCCGTCATCAGCCAGTCATACCGAATATCAAGCGTCGGAATTCCCGAGATTCGAACCGGAGACCTTTGATCATTGAGTTTGGCATTCTACCATTACACCACTGGCATTAAAATGCAAATCCAATTGAGGTGCCTTTAATCGGCCGATTTTCTGTTATAAGTTATTTGACCACCCCCGCCTTTTTGCCGTCCATCCCCCCCCGCCCCCGTGACA